CTCATTGTGCACATCATCAAGCTGAGGCTCAGAGTTGAAGTGATTTGCCCATGGTCACGTGACTAGTGAGTATCTGCTCAAACCCAGTAGTTTTATCTCTACATAGGATGATCCCAATTAAACCATATTTCCTTGACTGTCCCCTGCTCCAAAGCCCAATCAGTTCCCACTCTTGCCACAGAATTTCTGAGAAGAGTTTATTTCATTGGCTGAAGGCAGCTTTGGAAATCAGCTAGGCATAGCAGAAGAACCTTTTGGGTTGTTTTTTGTTTTTTGTGTTTTTGTTTTTTGGTGGAGGGAAGGGAAAAAAACCAGCAAAAGTGATCAGGTGCTTTATTTTCTGGTTAATTTAGACATCACTATTTTTCACCTGATTGTATATAGTTCAGTTTTTGTTTTTTGTTTTTTTTTTACTAACTGGGGAGATGATGGGATTCTGAACCATGGCAGTTAGATAGCCCAATGTGTAAGATGCTGAGCCTGGAGTCAGGAAGACTTGAATTCGAATCTATCTCAGACACTAGTTGAGTGACCCTAGGCAGGCAAGCCACTGCATTTCTCTCAGCCTCTGTTTCCACATCTATAAAATGGGGATACTAATAGCACCTACCTCCTAGGGTCATAAGAATTAAATGAGACATTTGTAAAGTGCCTAGCACAGTGCCTGGCACATAGTAGGTACTTAATAAATGTTCCAGTCCTCTTCCCTCCTCCTGCCAAGCACCTTAGATCCTCATCTAGATCTTAGGGATTATCAAATACAACCACTTTCATTTTACAGAGGGGGAAATCGAGTCCCAGAAAGAAGGAACACCTTAGCCAAGGTGATACAACAGAATTGCCATTAGAACCCAGCTCCTCTGCTTCCAAATCTGGTCCCCTTTCTAGTTCACCGTAAACATGTTGTTCTTTGCGGCTGTGTTAAAAGCCCTCTAGGGACTCAGAAAGGAACATTTCCCTTTGGTGAGGGCACCAAGTACCTTGATTTGTATGAAAAGTGAACAGGGTCTAAAACCAAGGTTATTTTTGGCAAATGACAATACACACACACACACACGCACACACATGCACACACATATATACACATTTTTCTCCTTTCAGAGAGATCTCATTTTAGTGGTATGACCTATATTCAGACCAATAATTTCCTTATTTCTAAAATGAAAGATTTGGAGGAGGTTCCTTCTAATTCGAACATTCTGTATTCTAAAGTCCCTCCTGCCTCTGACAATCCATGCTGTAAGACCTTTTTCTGCTCTGACATTCTATGTTCTAAGGATCCTTCCCAAGTCTAACATTTAGTGTTCCAAACGGGGTATGCTGGTAAATGTTTGGTAACTAGCTTTGTGGTGGGGCTGGGTGGGGGTGTGGGTGGAATTTAGCCGTGACATACTTTTCAGTTTAATCTACCTAATTTGCATTATCTCTATCACTTTCTTAGGTAGTATAAATCAACAAAACCATAAATCAGCCCCCCCCATTTGTAGGGTTTGCTCATTAATTTCTGAGGTGTAAATGCTCACCCTCAGAATCTGACAGTTGACTCTCAGTTGCCAGTCAGAGCTGGCTCCAGCACACTGGGGTCATTTATGTTGTAGGATCTTTTCCAGCTCTGACGTCCTATGTTCTAAGAGTCCTTCCAGATGACACTGTGAACCTCAAGATGCACAGGTCCCTCCAAGTAGTACAATTCTAGAATCTGTGATATGGTTCTGTTTCAGTGCAATATCTCTGCCAGAAAATAAGGAAACAAGAGCATTGCCCAGCAAAAACAACTTTTGGAATTCACAAGAGGGAACTAGAAAAGTCTTTGGATCAATGATTTCTGCGTGGGGAATATGGAATCACAGATACCATCAACTTTAATGAAAACAAGGGGAAGCTAACAACAATCCTGTTTCCCCATCATGGTTTGACCAATCAGCACTCAGCTCAAGCCATTGGTTGTCTGTCTCTCTGATCACTTTGATGGCCCAAGGATGTCCCTGTGAAATGATAAACTGCTATCTAGTCATTAGCAGAAATTAATCCAATGAGCGTGTAGGGGGCCACTTTCTTTTTTAAAAGAAGCAAGCAAAACAAATTCACTCTCTGAGGACTAATGAACAGTTTAAAATATTCTCCTCCCCCCCACCCCAACTCACTGTAATCAGTTGAGAACCTGAGTATCAGGTTAGTTCTGGTAGGGAAAAAACACAGTGGGATCATTAGGTCCCCCCCCCCATTTTACAAATGAGTAAACTGAGGCAGAGAGAGGTTAAGTGACTTGTCTAGGATCATACAATAATCAATAACCTATGTCCAAATACCCTATATCCAATTTACTTGAAATTAAATGGAACCAAGCTAATATAAATAATAATACCCAAATGGACATTTGTATAGTGTTTTGCAAAGCACTTTACCTACATTAGCTCAGTTGATCCCTACAAGAAGCAATGTAGCATAGTAGGAAAAAGGATTTGTAGTTAGGGTTCAAATCCTGTTTAATAATTGTGATGATGATGATGGCCAGCATTTATATAGCACTTTAAAGTATGTAAAGTGCTTTACGCACATTAACTCATTTGGTCCACATGACAGTCCTGGGAAGTTGGTGCTCAGCTCCATTTTACAGGTGAGGAAAATGAGGCTGAGAGAGGTTAAGTAACTTGCCCAGGGTCACCCAGCTAGGGAGTGTCTAAGGTAGGATTTGAACTCAGGTCTTGCTAACTCAAAGTCCTGCACTTTTCTGATCATAGGACCATAGATTAGAGGCTGCCCCCATTTTACAGACAAAGAAACTGAGGCACAGATTGATTAAGTGACTTGCTTAGGATCACATAGTATTTAAAGTGGAATTTGAACCCAGGTCTTCTTGACTCTAAGACTAAAGCCCTATCCACTGCACCATGCTGCCTATCAACCTTAGGTAAGACTTTCAAACTCTATGGTCCTCAGTTTCCTTACCTGCAAAATGAGGGAATTAGATTAGAAGAATGGCCTCTAAGATCCTTTCCAACTCCCCCAAATGATTTTATGATCTACCGTGTGTGGTATTATTATTATCATCATCCCCATCTTCCGGAAGGGGACACTGAGGTTCAGAAAAGTTAAATGAGTTGCCTGGAGTCACACAGCTAGTGCCCAATGTAAGGTTTGACCCCAAGACTTTCTGACCCCAGGTCCAGTGCTCTTATTTGCCAAACCACCCTTCATCTCTCATGTGTTATAATGACATTTATAATTATAATGACATTATAATTATAATGACAATTCATTCCAGCTAATGACAAGGGGAGGGTAGGCAAGAGAAAGGTAACATGCTAAGGGGGTGCAGAGAGAGCTGGATTTAGAGTCAGAGGTGCTGAATTTGAATTCTGTCTCAGCAGTTACTAGCTGTGTGACCTTGGTCGAGGCACTTCCCTTCTTTATCCTCCAGACTCTTCTTTCATTAAAAAGGAAAGATTTGGACTATATCACTGATTCTTGAAACGTTACTCAGGAGCCCCTATGTTTTAATTGCTAAGAGGTGAAATATTGATAAATATGACCCGTATAAACAGAAGTTCTTGAGTATAAAGGGGTCCTGAGACCAGAAAGTTTGAGAACCACCGATCTCTCAGATGATGTCCTAAGTAAGGTCCCTTATGGCTCAAGATCTTGTCATCTTGGACTTGGAGTTGGGAGGTCTGGCATTTTCCCTTACTCCTTTCACCTCAATGACCTCAAATAAGACTCTCTGCTCTAAGCATCAGTTTCCCCATCTATAAAATGGGGGTAGCAATCCTTGTACTTGCTAGCCACAGGATTGCCTTGAGAGTCAAATGGTGTAGGTGACACTCTTTGTAAACCACAAAGCATTTTATGAATGAGAGCTAGTTGTATTGTTTACTTCCGTGAAAGGGAGCCTGGTGTAGTGGCAAAACCATTGACCTTGGAATCTTTGGTGTCTAGGACACCAGCTTTGGGGTCCAAAGCCCTGAGGTCTGGTCCCAGCTCTGATACATACGGGTTGTATGACCTTTGCGTGAAGTCACTTTTACCTCTGACCTTCCATTCATCCCCCTGTAAATGGGGAGATCCATTCTTCTTTGCAAGGAGTAGTGTTGTGGGAAAAACATTTTGTAGGGAAGGGAAGGGAATCAGCTTTATTGAGTACAACTATGGGCCAAGGCACTGTGCTAAGCACTTTTTACAAATATTGTCTCATTTGATCCTCACAACAACCCTGGGAGGTAGGTGCTATTATTATCCCCAGTTACAGTTGAGTAAACTGAGGCCAAAAGAAGTTAAGTGACTTGCCCAAGGTCACAGAGATAGTAAATGTCTGTGAACTCAGCTCTTTCTGACTCTAGGCTCAGCACTCTATCCATTGTGCTACTATAAACAGCTGCCTGAATAAACCTTCTGTAAAGTGGAAAGAACTGTGGGATTGGGAGCCGTATTATTGTTATTTACTCTCCCTCTGGCAAATCCTCAAAAGGGGTTTTTCTTTACTAAGCATTCTGATCACACCTCACCGTGATGTGGAACACTTGGCCATTCACTTCACATTTGATGTGCATTTGGGTGCAGGGTCCTGAGCAATTAGTCTAGAACCAGAAGCTGCTACCCCTCCAGCTGTCCACTTCACAGTAACCTGGTCAGCAGGCCCATCTAAGTGCTCTGATGACTTTCATGATTTTTCATTTAGACAAAGAACAGGGAGAAAGATGGGCTGCAGCTAGCAGCTACTCTCTAGAGCTTGGGGAATCGATCATCTCTGAGGCTGGGGTAGGGCTTCCACTTTCTTTTTTTTAAATTTAATTAATTTTTTTTTTTTTTAGTGAGGCAATTGGGGTTAAGTGACTTGCCCAGAGTCACACAGCCAGGAAGTATTATGTGTCTGAGGTCTGATTTGAACTCAGGTCTTCCTGACTCCAGGGCTGTTGCTCCATCCCACTGCACCACCTAGCTGCCCCGATGGCTTCCACTTTCATTGAAAAAGACCACAGAGGAGAGATACTCTTGGTACTTACTCGAAGGACTCTTTGCTCTTGTTCGGTATGGGCCATAATCCACAGTGTCCAGGGGCAGGTGCAGAGAGCCAAAACACTGGGGGGAGGCTGTGTTTCCTTCTGAAGAGTCACTGTCCTTGGTCCCTGGGAGGTCAAGGTAGAGAACCACAGATGGTTGCTTCAAAACAGCATGTGGGTCGGAGGAAGAGGAGAAGAGGAGAGGAGAAGACGAAAAAAGAAGAGGAGAGAAGGAGAAAAAGAGAAGAGAGGAAAATGAAAAGGAGAAAAGCAGCCAGAGACAGACAGGCACATTAAGAAAATTAAGACAGGTGCGTTAAGAAAAATACACCCAGACACAGTGTCTGCCACTTTAATGTCAGCAGAGCGTTTGGGAAAAGGCCTGTGTTTAAGGTGCAAAGACAAGCAGATGATACCCAAGATCTAGGTTACAGGTACTTAAGGGAAATGTCAGAATCTCGTTAGTAAAGAGGGGTTTCTCCCTCCTCTTTTTCTAAATTAAAAGGCACCACAGGTAAAGGCTGTTGCCAAGCCATTCTGAATGTCTGTGACTGCACAATTATAGCTGCGGTTGCATCGGGGAGCATGGCAGTGCTTGCCCGGGACCATGTCAGCGTTTTAGCCCAAATGGCTCAAAGCTGCTCTCTCCAAACAGCCGCCGTTTAAAACAACAACAACAGTAACAAACCAAACTTCCCCATCCCAAAAAACCAAAAACTGAGCTTTGGGGAGTCAGGCTGGAGCGGATAGATGTTCACCTCTGCTGGCTCACCCTGTATTCAGCCTTCTCTATTCAGCACCAACCTTCCAAACCTGTGAGGGGTGTATCTGGTGTTCGAAAGAAATCCAGATTTAGAACATTCCTCCTCCTAGGAGGGGATGCCCACCTGGCATATTCACGATAGAACCCTGCTCTGGGAGGACTGGAGTCAGAGAGGCCTCCAAAGCGACTTTATATAGGACTGCAGCAATTTTAAATTGCACGGGAACCTTAGAACTGATTCGACAATTTAATTTAGTTCAACAGGCATTTATTAACCACCTACCATGTGTCAGGCACTGGGGATACGAGGACATAAAAACAGAAGAGTCCTTGCTCTCTAGGCTTAAATTATGTTGGGAGGAAACAAAGTGTACTGGGATAAGTAAATGGAAAATATAAACTAAATAAGGGGTCACTGAGGTCCTTTCCAACTCTCTAATTCAGTTCTGTAAATACAAAATAATTTCTGGGACAAGGTAGGGAACACCACCCACCTATCAGTGATGGCCCTTGAGTTGAACCTGAGGGTTATTTCTACTGTTTGGAATCGAAAGACTTTCCAAAGAATTTGAGAATTGATACTGAATAAAAGACTCACATCAACAAGAAGACGACTGTTTGAAGCCTTCAAAAATGCAGTGGTAAGATTCCATCTAATCATCAGCCAGGATGATACAAGCTGGAAGCAGATGGGTAGCTCACATACTTTATGCTCCACCTTGGAGGCAACAGGAGGCATATTTTCCCTAGACTAGCAACAGTATTCGCAAACTACATTCAGGTAACTTACCGTGATGGATACAAATGTGCTTTGCTTTTTGCAATGCATGCTCTTGAATTCTGTGTAAGTCAATCTTATTTTAAATAGGTGCTACAGAAGTTCACTGTTTATAGAAGCCAAGCCTCCTTTGACCAAATTGCAGCATCTCAGTTGGAAGGGGTCTCGGTGGCCAGCTAGGCCAACGCAGAGGGGAGCAGGGATCCTCTGAACAACCCAACCAAGAGGCGATCAACCTCGGCTTGAAGCCATCCAGCACCCCATTCCGTTTTTGGACCCTTCTTATCATCAGGAAGGTTTTCCTAACTTCAAGGCTAAAGCTTCAAGCCGTCGCTCCTAGTTTGTGCTCTGGGGCCAAGCAGAAATCCTTTGACAACTTTTCAGATACTCTGAGAAAGTGATCAGGCCTCCTTTTCCTCCTTCCCCCTCCAAATATGCCCCTCCACCTTCTCTTCTCCTTTTTTCTTCAAGCAAAACATGTCTGTTCCTTTAATCTATGCTTGTATAGCCTGAGGGAGGCCCTTCCACATCCTGGCTGTCTTCCTCTAGGCACTGTCTCTGGTTTATCCTGCCCCTTTTAAATGTGGCACCCGAAACAGAGCACAATATTTTAGATGTAGCTTGGCCAGGGCGCAACTGTGGTCTGACAGAGTAGATCCATGTTCTTTAATATAAAATATTTACCCTTCCTTTATAATTTTGCATATTTGTATGTCAGTTTCTTAAAATAGAACACATCTTTAATTTTACACAGAACATCAGAGCTAGGAGGGCCCTTGGAACCCAGAATGTCAGAGTTGGGAGGGGCCTTAGTACACAGAATGTGAAAACTGAGAGAGCTTAGAACACAGAACATCAGAGCTGGGATAGCCCTTGGAACCCAGAACGTCAGAGCTGAGAGGGCCCTGAGAATCCAGAATATCAGAGCTGGGAGAGCCCTTGGAACCCAGAATATCAGAGCTGGTAGGGGTCTTAGAACACAGAATATCAGAGCTGGGAGGGCCCTTGGAACCCATAATGTCAGGGTTGGGAAGGACCTTAGAACATAGAATGTCATACCTAGAACACAGAATAGAAGAGCTACAAGGGCCCATAGAACATGAATGTCAGAGCTGGCATGTAGGGGCCTTAGAATGATGACTTAGTGTAAATCTCTTATTATACAAATGAGAAAATGGAAGTCAAGGGACTTGCCTGAGGTTAGGGACATGATCCTTAGTGGAAGAGCAGAGCCTTGCAGGCCTCCTGTTCTTTGACTTCTCTGCCTCTCAAGAATTTGGTTGAGCTACAATTTAGTAACTATGAGCTCATGCAAAACAGATACGAACCTGTCCATAAAGAAGGCAAAAGTCTATCATTTCCTCCACCAACCAGACCTCCCCAGTGCAGAGATGCCCAGACTCTCAGAAGGCATTGGTTCCCACACCAGGATGCCTGAAGGTTTGTTCTCTTGTGGTGTGTCTGGGTTGGGCTCAAGGTTTAGGCCTCAAGGGTCAGTTCTTCCTAATAAAGAAAGCCATTACAGGAAATGCTGCCTTTGACATCCAGGTTGGCTTCCCGAAGGCATGTAACTGACGTAAGAATGGCCTGGGAAACTGACCCATAGCTAAGGGAAGCAAGCAGAGCCCTACCTAAGAGAGGTGACCTGGTGGTTTTTTTTTGGGGGGGGAGAAAAAAAGAAAGAAAAGAATAATAATAGCTAGCATTTATATAGCACTTTAAGCTTTTGCTTTACTTGTGATCCTTACAATAACCCTGTGAGGTGGATGCTATTATTATCTCCATTCTATAGATAAGGAAGCTAAGGCACACAGAAGTTAAATAACTTGCCCAGGGTCACACAGTTTGTACCTGAAGTAGGATTTGAACCCAGGTCTTCCTGACTCCCAATTCTAACTCTCTATCTACTGTGCCAGACCAAGGACCTGGATTTACATCCTAATTTGGCCATTCACTTCCTCTGTGAGCTCAGGCAAGCCCATTCTCTTGTCTGGAACTCAGGGGGGATTAGCTTTAAGTCCCGAAGATGCCTGGGGTTGGTGTGAAAAGGACTGACGATCCTGTAGGGTCATTTGGGCCACTGGAGGTGCCTTGGCCAGCCCAGAATGGTGGGCTGACACCTGATGCCATCTTAGAGCTGTGTGGTGCCATTCTAAGGCTCCTTCTAGGGTTCTGACACAGGCAGCTAAGCTCTGTCTGATGAGCTCACTCCATCTGTTTTCAGTCCTCACCCACATTGTTCAATGAGGATCCTGCTATTGTGTCAATCTAATACCATTCTTGGTGCCTCCTTACTGTAGGAGAAGGGCAGCTGCCTGGTCTCCTGAATACTTTCATCTTGGTTGAAGGACAGCAAGGAGGCCCGTGTGTAGGTGAGACAGTCCTTTTGGAAACGGTAAAGCAGGAATCCATGAATGTCAGAGGTTGGGATCATGTAGAGGCGAAACCCTTTCATCTATAGAGGAGATGGGAAAATGTTTGCTCAAGGTCACTAGGAACTGAAGCAGGGGAAGTTTACCAGGGGAGAGACAGACCCATGGCCATCCAGCCTGGTCTGGGGAGCGGAGCAGGATAGGCCAGGAGAGGAGTTCACTGCAGCCTACCAGCTGCTAGCTTCTTCTTTTAACTAATTATTCTTTCTAGCTTGGGGCTACATTCTGTTGTTTCTATTCTACGGAACAACTGAAAGTGCTGTCAGTGTGCCCTAAATCCAGCACCCTCTAAACTGAGACCCTGGAACAAAGCCCTATGTGCTCCACCCTAGTTATAGCTGTGAGAGTGGGGACTTTGAAGAGGCCAGGACCCCTCTCTAATAAGTGCAAAATACTTCCCAGGTTTCCTTTCATTAAACACACACACTCCATTATTTATTTATTTTAACATTCTTTTCTTTTTAAATTAAGTTCCAAATTCTTTCGCTTCCTCCTACCCCTCTTCCTCCCACTGAGAAGGCAAGCAAAATGATATCAATTATACATGTGAAATCATGCAAAATATATTTCTATATTAGCCATATTGCAAAAAAAAAAGCAAAAGAAATAAAGTAAGAAAATTCTTCTTCAATTTGCACTCATAGTTCATCAATTCTCTCTTCTGGAAGCAGTTAACATTTTTTTTTGTTATGATTCCTTTGGAATTGTTTTAGATCATTGCATTGATCAGCATAGCCAAGCCTTTCATAGTTGATCACCATTACAACCTTGCTGTTACTGTGCACAATGATCTTCTGGTTCTTCTCACTTCACTTTGCATCAGTTCACATAGGTCTTGCCACATTTTTTTTTTTTTAAACCACCCCCTTGTCATTTCCTATAACACAACAGTCTGTCATGACAACCACACACCACAACTTGTTCAGCCATTCCCCAATTGATGGGCATCCCCTCAATTTCCAATTCTTTGTTACCACTAAAAGAGCTGCTATGAATATTTAGGTCTTTTTCTTTTTCCTTTCACATCTTTGGGGTACAGACCTGGTAGTGGTATTGCTGGCTCAAAGGGTACGTCCAGTTTTGTAGCCCTTTGGAGATAGTTCCAAATTGTTCTCCAGAATGGCTAGGCCAATTCACAACTCCACCTACAATT